ACAGTGTATACGACGACTTTAAAGAACTGGGCAAGTACATAAAAATGCTGAAATAAAAAACGTTAATTTATTGCCAGTAGTTTATACTCCTATTCGAGTCAATGTTAATGGCCATTTTTTAAACCAAAAAGTATATCGCTCTTGAAATGTAGTTTGGAGTAGGTATAATCTGATAATACATTGCAAATTTGAGTGACGCAAAGTAACTCAAAAAGTTTAAGGATTTAATACTTATATGCCACTTCTCAGAGGTACTGATTATCCCCACAGGTAGGAATGGTAACTGCAGGTAACAGGAGAAACGGCAGAAAATGCTCTATTGAATTAAAACTGGATTCCTGATTCTGACTAACTGATTAAAGAGATCGAACAACATGGAAAACAAAGGGAAAGTTATATTTATTAATAACAAAACAATTAAAAGATGGGTGAGAGTATTATACTTACGAACAGCGCAGCTCTCTAAATTGGAGAGAACTCTGACCAGGTAGAATTCTGAGGAAAAAATCTAAACTAATTATGAAAGAGACTGAGAGAATACAACGACTATATACAAAATACAATAATAGCTTCGTAACTACCAAGGTGTATTCGTTACTCACGTCGCTGGTCATTCAATCAGCAAAAATTGGAAGGATATATCTTCGAGGAATCACAAAACTCACCACGTGGTTGCCTCTACAGAAACTACAAAGGATACAAATCTATACAGATCTGGTGCAGTCTGTTCTATGGGAAAGCTTTGGGTGACATCAAAAGAGAACGAATTATAACAATAAGTAGCCAAGCAACCGCAGGCTAACGTTACAATACACCAGAAACGAACTCTATTGTTAGGCCTATACGAACGGCCGTACGAGAAGTGTTTCAAATTTTAGCTGAACAAGAAATGTTCACTTGTCTAAACTAAAAGGAAAATTAAACAACAAGTACGGTTCGCATACTATAATGTTATAGTTAAAATATTTTTAACATGTTAGTGTAGGTTCTCTGTTCCTTTTCTTTTTAGTGTAAAGTCGTAGATTTGACGAAGCGATTCGCATAATAGACTATAATACTGTAATATAATCCTTGATATCAAGTCACTGTTAAGTAATACCGTCCCCTGGTAGGACAGTGGTAAGTTTACGAAGTTACAACGCTAAAATTCGGGGTTCGATTCAGCGGTTGACACGGCAAATAGCATCATGTGACTTTTTTTTAAGACAAACAAACCTTAAGTAATACCAATGAAAAATATCAAATTTAGATTTGCAAGAAATAGCAGAAAAAATTTTTTTTTTTTTTTACGAAATACTTTTTTTTGTTTAGTAATTAATAAATGTGCTTACCAATATCGAAAATAATTTGACCTTTCAAATAATACTGGATAAAAATCCTGAAGTTGTTAGCATAATAGTAATTAGTAAACTTGTGTTCCGATATTGAAAATATTTGAGCGTTTCAGAACGAGTTGGCTAAGTGTTCTGGAACGACTAACATACAACAATCGTCAGATATACTGTAAATTTTATTCATCCGTTTTAATTAAAGGAATCAAAAGGTATGTAGGTTGTCGAGTTTTTGCAGAACTTGCTATAGAATTGGGATCATATGCTAACGTTTGGAGTTAATTTTGGAGTTCTTTGTCCAAGTGAGAGTGTTGTGTATAAAATTATTAAGCTATAACTAGTTAGTCCTAACCACATGACTAGTTTCTTACTTGAACTTTAAAGTTACTAGAGAACGGTGTGTAAAAATATGAGCGATACGATTTTTAGAGTTATCAGTATTAGAATAAAATCTTTCAATACCTGCAGTCTGCAGAAAGTATATTATTAACATAGAAATCCTATATTTAAAACAAATTATCGTTTCATTGGTTACTCTGTACGCGGAAAATATCTTGAAGATATTCATAAAACTCACACTAAAATTAAAATAATTTCCCTAAACAACAGTTAGAAACGTTGGTGGCGTTGCTTGTAGTAATATTCCTGAGACAAAATCTCAGTTCTACCATTACACTTAATAAAAATTATAATTATGATAAAATCTCTTAATATTCTCTAACGTTCAGGAAACTTATGGTAGAACAAAAAAAAACAGAATGTGATTGACAGTTTACAGCGGTATAGCGTTAAGTTTCCAGACTTATAACGCTATAAAATAGAGTTTCGATGCCCGCAGCGAGCAGAGCACAGATAGCCCATTGCGTAGCTTTGAGCGTTAGAACGAGAACAACTTATAGTATATATATTAATAGTATTGTGAATTTGGAAATATACTTTACGTTTATAGTCTCTAACAACTATTTTAATATAACCCCAAAGATATAGTCAGCTTATTTATAACAATTTCTTCAGAAATGTGGCTTCTATCGTGGTCATAACATTTGCAAAAATCCTCCTGGGTGAGTAATAGTTTTTGTATTTACTAAATACAGAATGCCTAATTTTTTTATTCTTTTTTAAAACCATTACAAAGGGGAAAGAACGTTCTTCCGTTCAGGGAAAGTGCTTACGTGAATACCTATTTAAAATGTATAATGATGTCTGTTAACAATCTACAAAAACTATGTTATTCTAATTTATATGAGTGGTCATTTACCCTTTTTTTGGAAGCGATGAAAAAGTTCAACTTACTAGCTCAGAAGGTTACATCCATTCCGGTAATTATGCTTTACCTGCCTCTCCCGGTTGTTCTTAACAATAGACCTAAAGCGATTCTTACGTGAATACCTATTTAAAATGTATATGATGTCTGTTAACAATCTACAAAAACTATGTTATTCTAATTTATATGAGTGGTCATTTACCCTTTTTTTGGAAGCGATGAAAAAGTTCAACTTACTAGCTCAGAAGGTTACATCCATTCCGGTAATTATGCTTTACCTGCCTCTCCCGGTTCTTAACAATAGACCTATAGCGATTCTTTCATCAGATCAAGGTTCTTAGAGGAACAGTCATGTCAGAGTTGTTCAACTTCTCTTGTTCAGCTTTCCATAAACAGGTAAAAAAAAGCAATGACATAGATCTACGACTTGCAAGCGTATTCTTAAGTCTACTGGAGCTGCAGCAAGAGACTTGATCGAACGGAATTGGTGTGATTTCAGTTTCTTCGGTCATCTTTCTCTTAGAAACAGCTGTTCATTTGATTGTCAGCTCTGTCCTAATGAATTGCAAGCTTGTTAATGTACTATTTTATATAGTTCTGGAATTTCGAAAATTTTCTATCTGATAATGGCGGGAGTCAATTTTAGCCTCAAATCGAACTAGCCTTTTCAAAAAAGACTCACACTCACAGTGTCACGGGCGAAGGTTCTGCTTCATATTAGTTTTAATCATTGTTTCAATCTTATTTTAGGTCACGAATACAGAACCACGGCGTGACAATACCTGACCACAGGCGAAAGTGATCATAATCCGGCGACATACAGAAAGTACATTACATTCACCGTATAAAATGTTTAGGTCCGATTTTATTGGACCTGGAAGGGTCATGTACGCCTTAAACGTCTTCCTCTCCCCTAACAGTAGGTTTTTGTTCTTTTATTTTTATTGCTGTATCGGATTTAATGTTTAATTTGTTTTCCCTCTAAGATGATTTTTTTTGGTACTTTTTATTGTTTAAAACTTCTGCTTTTTGGTATTGTAGTTTTGTCGAGTTTACACTGCACGATCTCTCCACGGATTCCGCGCTAATGATGTTGTGTAGAGGTTGTTTGTGTTTTATGTAATCCACATATAATTTTTCTTCCCACACTTACACATTGCTAGATTTATTTTCCTAGCGTCCGTAAACAAAATTTCGCATTGCCCTTTTTAGGCCTTGTCCATATTAATATAATTACATCCAAATCGCTGATATTGGTTTACACAAAGTCCTGCGTTCACACTACAATTTATTGCAGTAATAATGTAATATACACAAATAAAGTTATCTTAGTACACATAAAATCAATCAATTTTTAAAATAAAGTTATATGTGTATCGGAAAAAATTATACAATGCCTAACACTATGTGGCCGTTTTAATATGTTATTTATTTTATTTAATGGCGAGAGGTACTTCTGACTTTGTCCATCATGTATGATATACCTCTCTAAGTTAATCATCACGCCGTTTTTTACATTTTTCTTACAGTATTTGAGCGAATTTTCAAGGAGTTTGTCATATTGTTTTATTGTTTGTTTCTTTGTTTTTGAATTTCGCGCAAAGCTACACGAGGGCTATCTGCGCTAGCCGTCTCTAATTTAGCAGTAAAAAAACTAGAGTAAAGGCAGCTAGTCATCACCACCCACCGCCAACTCTTGGGCTACTCTTTTACCAACGAATAGTGGGATTGATCGTTACATTATAACGCCGCCACGGCTGAAAGGGCGAGCATGTTTGGTGTGACGGGGATTCGAACCCGCGACCCTCAGATTGCGAGTCACCTGGCCATGCCGGGCGTAACCGAGAGTTGTTTAAGTATGTATGTAAAAAGGTTAAGTTTGTTGTACGGGGGACTTTATAGGCTTTTGTGAGTATAAAGTTCTGTGTTTTCTATAGATTTTCTATTTGTGTGTTAGAAATGTTTAGCCATGCCGTGCAGGAGTATTCTATGTCTAGCCCAACGTATGTTTTGTATATTTTGAGTGTAGTGTCTGGTGAAGCTCCTTGATTATTATCTGTTAGAGTCGCAAGATATCTCGTTCTAAGTCAGATCCGATATTTGATACTCTTAACACGTTCAATCCACGTTAGTTTTAAATCGTAAATTAATCTCAAGAATTTTGCAGACTTGGCGGCTTCGAGGAGCGTCCCATATATACATAGTTAAGATTTCGTTCTGCTCTGTTTAGATGATTTGGAGAGTAATATTACCTGTGTTTAGAAAATTCATTGTTTTCTCTCACTGAAATGATCTGTATTACCCGCGTCGCGTGGAACGCCGGGAGAGCATGCTGAAGCGCACGCGTCAAATGATAACCTTTTCTACTTGCCAGGTGAGGAGGCAGAGAAGCTGCTGAGCAAACAGAGTTAAAATATTTAGTATATTCGGTTAGGCCTCGCCGATAAGTTTGTTGAACGGTCGTGTCACATTCAAACAGAATGTCTTGCAACAAAACTGAAAGAACTATAATTACTGCTTGGATCGTTCACTTTCTTTTCAGCCTTCGCAACGGTGAGTTTAAACATTTTTTTTAACACCATTACTTAACATCTTATGGTACCATGACATTATTTTAATTATAATTATAAATAATAGTATTTTGAAAATGCAAATTAAACTAAGATAATGATGTTAGATTACAATAGTGCATGGCATGTGTTAGAAAAAATTATAGGTATATTTTATCAGACAAAACTTTGTTGTTTTATTAAGCAGTCTTAAGTGAGTTTGTTTTGTTTTTTAATATCCGAATACATACAAATTATGCATCACACTCGTGCCGGCATTTACAGTAGTCTTAACTAGTAGAAATACAGTATGAATGTTTAGTAAATTCGCAAACACCCCGCAATGCTTACAGCTAATTTGACAGAACAGGTTTCTATTTTTGTCTTCATGTCCTGGCTACTGCTGTGCTGACGTTTACCCAAAAAGCACAGTAACACGCAACTAAAGATAGTCACAAGCAAGATACACTAAGCTGTTTTAAGCGGCTAAAACCGGTAATAAGGGTCGCTTTATGTAAAAGAAAGAAAATCTCTTGTTTTATCCAAACCTCATATCTTACTGTCTGTGACACAAAATCAATGTATTTGCTGTGTATATGCACTCAACATAACATTGAATCTTTACACTTTGTGTTGCAGGGAGCAAATAAGAGCAATTTGTTTGTTTGTTCGTAATTAAGCATAAAGCTACACAATGTGCTCTGCCCACCACGGGTATCGAAACCCGGTTTCTAGAGATGTAAGTCCGCAGACATACCGCTGTACCACTGGGGGGCAATAAGTATAAGCTTAAGTAGAAAAATGTTCAAGACACAAAACACATTTCCAGTAGTGTTATTGTATATATATATTGTATATAACTATTGAAAAAAATCAAGTAAACAAGCCTTAATTACACATATTTTATTTCAGCCTGTAGATAAAACAACATTCCATTAATTTCTTCATGAAACACTGCACAAAATAGTTAAAGGAGCATCTGGATTGGGAACTGTGTCTGTTTGTTTTTAGATCAAAGTCACATTGGGTTATCCGCTGTGTCCACCGCCGGGAATCGAACCCCTGATTTTAGTGTTGTGATTCCGTCCCAATGGGTGACTTATAGATAAGAAAAGAAAAACAAATGTTTACTAATCTAAAATAATACCATGAATCAACCTTCTGCGTCACTGTCATGCAAATAGGATATCTAATGTTCAGTCAAATTATCTGAAAATCGATACATGTGTCCCTCAGCCTATGCTATGTATATATAAATGTCAATTGGAAGTGAATCACAGAGTTTAAAGGGTCCACAATTGTTTATGAACCATGGCTCGATCCCAAATAAACATTTTGAACCAGAAGACGAGTGGAAGCCAACCAGCCACAGAAAAGATTGCTTCGAATTGCCACTAGCTCCTCAAAGCATTTATCGTTAGTATTCCGTGGAATCGCTTCCAAACCAACGGACACCTGAACAAGACAACGACCTGTATCTGTCTATTCTGCCTCACTACAATTGTAAGGTAACTTATCCTAGACTAAATTAGATGTTCGCAGCTGCAATTGGACGCTATATCAGTGTACAAGCGATTTCTAGAAACTGACTTCATAAGACTGGCTCTATGCCAGACGGCCACTGGGATGTATTGCGCTCAGAGCAAGGCCCCAAAAAAAGCTCGATGCCTACAAGGGGTGTCAAAAACATTATCTCTGAATCAGCAATAGTGGCATTCCTTTCATAGATGAATCACGTTTCGTCCTGCAGTAATAAAACAGATACATGTATAATGTTTTGCAGAAAATAAGAACCCAGATCCAATCCACGCCATTTTTATACAGAAATGTAATGATGGAGTTGATGGAAAAGTGGTATAGGCAGGAATAAGCATTAAAGATAAATACAGTTTCCCAATCTGTCATTCGATTCACCACTTGTCATTGAGTTATACCGATTTCGGGGAATTCCACCCTCAACATCAAATCGAAAGAATAAGACGAGGCTTCTTATAGTGGTGGAGCGTATATATTTGATGTTTTGAGTTCTATTTTACTACCACACAACTCGAAACGTAGATGTCTTAAGCATCATAAATGGCAGCATATAGGAATGTATATGTGTGTGTGTGTGTATATATATGTATATTCAAGCGATAATATATATAACTTATGAATAAAAATAAACATTAAAAAAGCTGAGGTTTGTTCAGGAAATTACAAGAGATCGTCACAAAAAGGAAAGGTAGCCATGTTTCATATAGGTAGTTAAATAGCAAAAAGTATATACATATATATATATATATAACGATGATATAAAAGCTTCATTTGATATATATATATATAACGATGATATA